ATCTAGAGAGTTTAAGAGTGAGTTATGTCCACCAAACAGAGAAGGGGTTCATTCCAAAATGACGAGACACTTTTAGCAAGAAAGAATGATTCAAATTGAAGCCGTTTTTGAAATGTTTATAACTTTTAATAGGTGATGATTTTACTAAAAAAAAGGCATAGGCCTGCAAAAAATCTACTGCTTTTGTGAGTGAGTTATGTCCACCAAACAGAGAAGGGATTCATTCCAAATGACGAGACACTATAAGTAAAAAAAAATGATTCAAAGTGAAGCCTTTTTTGAATTGTTTGTAACATTTAATAGGTGATGATTTTAGAAAAAAAAAGGTCTTAGGCTTGCAAAAAATCTAGAGAGTTTGTGAGTGAGTAATGTCCACCAAACAGAGAAAGGGCTCATTCCAGATGACGAGACACTATTAGCAAGAAAGAATGATTCAAAGTGAAGACTTTTTTGAAATGTTTGTACCATTTAATGGTTGATGATTTTACTTAGAAAAAAAGGCATAGGCTTGCAAAAAATCTAGAGAGTTTGTGAGTGAGTTATGTCCACCAAACAGGGAAGGGGTTCATATCAGATGACGAGACACTATTAGCCAGAAAGAATGATTCAAAGTGAAGCCTTTTTTGAAATGTTTGTACCATTTAATGGCTGATGATTTTACTAAGAAAAAAAGGCATGGGCTTGCAAAAAATCTAGAGAGTTTGTGAGTGAGTTATGTCCACCAAACAGAGAATGGGTTCATTCCAGATGACGAGACATTATTAGCAAGAAAATATGATTCAAAGTAAAGCCTTTTTTGAAATGTTTGTACCATTTAATGGCTGATGATTTTACTAAGAAAAAAAGGCATAGGCTTGTAAAAAATCTAGAGAGTTTGTGAGTGAGTTATGTCCACCAAACAGAGAATGGGTTCATTCCAGATGACGAGACACTATTAGCAAGAAAGAATGATTCAAAGTGAAGCCTTTTTTGAAATGTTTGTAGCATTCATTAGCTGATGATTTTACTAAAAAAAGGCATAGGCCTGCAAAAAATCTACTGCTTTTGTGAGTGAGTTATGTCCACCAAACAGAGAAGGGATTCATTCCAAATGACGAGACACTAAAAGTAAAAAAAAATGATTCAAAGTGAAGCCTTTTTTGAATTGTTTGTAACATTTAATAGGTGATGATTTTAGAAAAAAAAAGGTCTTAGGCTTGCAAAAAATCTAGAGAGTTTGTGAGTGAGTAATGTCCACCAAACAGAGAAAGGGCTCATTCCAGATGACGAGACACTATTAGCAAGAAAGAATGATTCAAAGTGAAGACTTTTTTGAAATGTTTGTACCATTTAATGGTTGATGATTTTACTTAGAAAAAAAGGCATAGGCTTGCAAAAAATCTAGAGAGTTTGTGAGTGAGTTATGTCCACCAAACAGGGAAGGGGTTCATATCAGATGACGAGACACTATTAGCCAGAAAGAATGATTCAAAGTGAAGCTTTTTTTGAAATGTTTTTAGCATTCAATAGGTGATGATTTTACTAAAAAAAAGGCATAGGCCTGCAAAAAATCTACTGCTTTTGTGAGTGAGTTATGTCCACCAAACAGAGAAGGGGTTCATTCAAGATGACGAGACACTATTAGCAAGAAAGAATGATTCAAAGTGAAGCCTTTTTTGAAATGTTTGTACAATTTAATGGCTGATGATTTTACTTAGAAAAAAAGCCATAGGCTTGCAAAGAGTCTAGAGAGTTTGTGAGTGAGTTATGTCCACCAAACAGAGAAGGGGTTCATTCCAGATGACGAAACACTATTAGCAAGAAAATATGATTCAAAGTGAAGCCTTTTTTGAAATGTTTGTAACATTTAATGGCTGATGATTTTTCTAAGAAAAAAAGGCATAGGCTTGCAAAAAATCTAGAGAGTTTGTGAGTGAGTTATATCCACCAAACAGAGAAGGGGCTCATTCCAGATGACGAGACACTATTAGCACGAAAGAATGATTCAAAGTGAAGCCTTTTTTGAAATGTTTGTAACATTTAATGGCTGATGATTTTTCTAAGAAAAAAAGGCATAGGCTTGCAAAAAATCTAGAGAGTTTGTGAGTGAGTTATATCCACCAAACAGAGAAGGGGCTCATTCCAGATGACGAGACACTATTAGCACGAAAGAATGATTCAAAGTGAAGCCTTTTTTGAAATGTTTGTAACATTTAATGGCTGATGATTTTTCTAAGAAAAAAAGGCATAGGCTTGCAAAAAATCTAGAGAGTTTGTGAGTGAGTTATATCCACCAAACAGAGAAGGGGCTCATTCCAGATGACGAGACACTATTAGCACGAAAGAATGATTCAAAGTGAAGCCTTTTTTGAAATGTTTGTAACATTTAATGGCTGATGATTTTTCTAAGAAAAAAAGGCATAGGCTTGCAAAAAATCTAGAGAGTTTGTGAGTGAGTTATGTCCACCAAACAGAGAAGGGGTTCATTCCAGATGACGAGACACTTTTAGCAAGAAAGAATGATTCAAATTGAAGCCGTTTTTGAAATGTTTATAACTTTTAATAGGTGATGATTTTACTAAAAAAAAGGCATATGCTTGCAAAAAATCTAGAGAGTTTAAGAGTGAGTTATGTCCACCAAACAGAGAAGGGGTTCATTCCAAAATGACGAGACACTTTTAGCAAGAAAGAATGATTCAAATTGAAGCCGTTTTTGAAATGTTTGTAACACTCAATAGTTGAAAATTTTACTGAAAAAAAAGCCATAGGCTTGCAAAGAATCTAGAGAGTTTGTGAGTGGGTTATGTCCACCAAACAGTGAAGGGGTTGATTCCAGATGACGAGACACTATTAACAGGAAAGAACGATTCAAAGTGATACCTTTTTTGAAATGTTTGTACCATTTAATGGCTGATGATTTTACTAAGAAAAAAAGGTATGAGCTTGCAAAAAATCTAGAGAGTTTGTGAGTGAGTTATGTCCACCAAACAGAAAAGGGGTTCATTCCAGATGACGAGACACTATTAGCAAGAAAATACGATTCAAAGTGAAGCCTTTTATGAAATGTTTGTAACATTCAATAGCTGATAATTTTACTAAAAAAGGCACAGGCTTGCAAAAAATCTAGAGAGTTTGTGAGTGAGTTATGTCCACCAAACAGAAATGGGGTTCATTCCAGATGACGACACACTATTAGCAAGAAAGAATGATTCAAAGTGAAGCCTTTATTGAAATGTTTGTAACACTCAATAGTTGAAAATTTTACTGAAAAAAAAGCCATAGGCTTGCAAAGAATCTAGAGAGTTTGTGAGTGGGTTATGTCCACCAAACAGTGAAGGGGTTGATTCCAGATGACGAGACACTATTAACAGGAAAGAACGATTCAAAGTGATACCTTTTTTGAAATGTTTGTACCATTCAATGGCTGATGATTTTACTAAGAAAAAAAGGCATAGGCTTGCAAAGAATCTAGACAGTTTGTGAGTGAGTTATTTCCACCAAACAGAGAAAGGGTTCATTCCAGATGACGAGACACTATTAGCAAGAAAGAATGATTCAAAGTGAAGCCTTTTTTGAAATGTTTGTAACACTCAATAGTTGAAGATTTTACTGAAAAAAAAGCCATAGGCTTGCAAAGAGTCTAGAGAGTTTGTGAGTGAGTTATGTCCACCAAACAGAGAAGGGGTTCATTCCAGATGACGAAACACTATTAGCAAGAAAATATGATTCAAAGTGAAGCCTTTTTTGAAATGTTTGTAACATTTAATGGCTGATGATTTTTCTAAGAAAAAAAGGCATAGGCTTGCAAAAAATCTAGAGAGTTTGTGAGTGAGTTATATCCACCAAACAGAGAAGGGGCTCATTCCAGATGACGAGACACTATTAGCACGAAAGAATGATTCAAAGTGAAGCCTTTTTTGAAATGTTTGTAACATTTAATGGCTGATGATTTTTCTAAGAAAAAAAGGCATAGGCTTGCAAAAAATCTAGAGAGTTTGTGAGTGAGTTATATCCACCAAACAGAGAAGGGGCTCATTCCAGATGACGAGACACTATTAGCACGAAAGAATGATTCAAAGTGAAGCCTTTTTTGAAATGTTTGTAACATTTAATGGCTGATGATTTTTCTAAGAAAAAAAGGCATAGGCTTGCAAAAAATCTAGAGAGTTTGTGAGTGAGTTATGTCCACCAAACAGAGAAGGGGTTCATTCAAGATGACGAGACACTATTAGCAAGAAAGAATGATTCAAAGTGAAGCCTTTTTTGAAATGTTTGTACAATTTAATGGCTGATGATTTTACTTAGAAAAAAAGGCATAGGCTTGCAAAAAATCTAGAGAGTTTGTGAGTGAGTTATGTCCACCAAACAGAGAAGGGGTTCATTCAAGATGACGAGACACTATTAGCAAGAAAGAATGATTCAAAGTGAAGCGTTTTTTGAAATGTTTGTACCATTTAATTGCTGATGATTTTACTTAGAAAAAAAGGCATAGGCTTGCAAAAAATCTAGAGAGTTTGTGAGTGGGTTATGTCCACCAAACAGAGAAGGGGTTCATTCAAGATGACGAGACACTATTAGCAAGAAAATATGATTCAAAGTGAAGCCTTTTTTGAAATGTTTGTAACATTCAATAGCTGATGATTTTACTAAGAAAAAAAGGCATAACTTGCAAAAATCTAGAGATTTTGTGAGTGAGTTATGTCCACCAAACAGAGAAGGGGTTCATTCCAGATGACGAGACCTTATTAGCAAGAAAGAATGATTCAAAGTGAAGCCTTTTTTGAAATGTTTGTAGCATTCAATAGCTGATGATTTTACTAAGAAAAAAAGGCATAGGCTTGCATAAAATCTAGAGAGTTTGTGAGTGAGGTATGTCCACCAAACAGGGAAGGGGTTCATTCGAGATAACGAGACACTATTAGCAAGAAAATATGATTCAAAGTGAAGCTTTTTTTTGAAATGTTTGTAACATTTGATAGGTGATGATTTTACTAAGAAAAAAAGGTATGAGCTTGCAAAAAATCTAGAGAGTTTGTGAGTGAGTTATATCCACCAAACAGAGAAGGGGCTCATTCCAGATGACGAGACACTATTAGCACGAAAGAATGATTCAAAGGTGAAGCCTTTTCAAGTTTTCGCAACATTTAATGATTTGCTGATTTTACAAAAATAATAGGCATACGCTTACAAACAGTTTGAGGTTTTTTTTGGTAATTTCTTGCACGTTTGTTTGAAGGGGTTGATTCTAGATGATCATAACAAAACACAGAATTACTGGAAGAATTATAGAAAGGTGTAGTATTAGCAAGAAATAATGATTGTTTATCTTTCCTATATCAATATTTTAGGTTTACAATTTATACAAAGTGGCTGAAGTTGAAATTTTTTTACCAAACACAAAATAGGGATACATATTTTTTACATTTTTTTGTAAAGCGTTAGCAGCATTCACTAATTGTTGACTTTACTTATAATATTGGTTGTAAAAACGATAGAGGTGAATCTTTGCCACGAAACACTTTGTCGATTCCAGATGACCTGATTCTACTGCCAAGAGGAAAGTTTTTGCATGTGGAACTTATAAACAACATCTAATGATGGTGGACTTCACAAAAAAGTTTTAAAAATTGAAGTTTTGAGGTGATTTTTTTTGTAGAGAAAGCAGAAGGAGTCGAATCTAGATGATGAGACAATTTTGACCAGCAGTACAGATTAAAAGGAAAAGCTGCTTTTTATAAAGTAGCAGAAACTTTAAATGATTGTTGATCTTTTGGAACAAAACAGAATGGGTCGGTTCAAGATAGTCAGGCACTTTTAGCAAAGAGGACAGATAGACAGGAGAAGCTGCTTTTAATAATGTATAAGAACTCCTTAATGATTGTTGATTCACGTATTATTGGAACGCCTAAAGCGCAATTCACAGCATCGTTGTTCAAATGACTGTTGTATTTGCTTATGACATAGTACCTTAGTTGAAAGATGGCATTTGGTGAATTTTTTCGAAGGGGTTTGTATCCTATCTTTTTCATCGTACCAGCCTGTTTGTTTCCACAAGGTCTGACAGCTCTGACTAGAACAGGTTTAAGCGTTTCAATATGGCACGAAAAAACTAGATGCATTTAGTTTGGAATTTAGTTAAGTATTTGCAAGAAATTAAAGCTGTAGATATTCCAGAATTAGATTTCTATTCTGAATTTTCATAGAATTACCAAACATATTTTATTTTGGCCAAAATGTAACCATGGAGGCTAGGAGAGTGAAATTTTCTAATGAAAATGTTTTTCTTCTAGAAAGCTTAAAACTTAAAGGGGCAACTTGGTCTGAAAATGAGCTTTATTAGCTTTGAGAATATTGATGGTCAAAAACAAACAAGTTGACGATGAAAGAGCAAGTCGTCCTTGAGAATGTCAATGAGTTTGCGAGAACTAGCAAGAAGAGAGAAAGCTTTTTGCAGTGTCTCATTATTGATTTACACGATAAACACATTTTTTACACTGAGACCTTCTTTTGTACTTTGATTATTTGAATACATCTTTTTATTTAGGCAAAAATACTACAAGTTAAATAGATTCTAAAAATTTAATAACATCTATTTGCCGACGTACAAGCTAATTCAATAATTTAGAACATCAGATTATTTTTGAAAAATCTGAAAAGATATAATTTATCAAGACGTTTTGATGATTTACACTGTTTCTGAGCGCTTTTTGAAAATTGCTGCCGAGAGTTTTCGACGTACCGTTTGCTTTCTTTCATTTGGGGATTTTCTTGTCTGTACGCCCCTCTCATAGCCCGGAGTCTCCTCAATCAAAGGCAACTGTAGCGTCGTTCTTTTCTCGATACTTTGGGAGTGGCCCTCAGCGAGAGCTTCCTTGGTTAGTTTAATGTAATTCTGAACGATAAGCGTGTTTAAGGGAATGAATACATTATCAAAATCAGTGGCAGCAGAGATTTCGTAAAATGACGCACCGTGTTTCAATGCGAGGTTTCGTCCTTCTTCCGTTGATACCTCTCTTCGGTGACATAGATCATACTTGTTACCGAGAATCGCAATCGTTGGTATTGTTCCCTTCTTGGCATGCGATGATCTGCTCATTTGTTTGAATTCTTCCAGCAAAACAGCTGCTGTTATAAACGAGCTTCGATCAACTATCGAGTAAACGACAACGATTGATGACGACCAAGTGAAGTAGCCCATAGCGCTTGCGAGGCATGTCTACAAGAAAATCAAGGACTTATTGCTAAAACGACTTCAAGGAAATACGACGATCGAAGCTGTCATCAGGGAATACAAGACCTACGATATGCAATCTCTGGTGACTTTTTTAAGGGGTTTAGTTGTATATTTTTATATTCTCCTGAGATCCTTTGTCCCATAGCTATCATGTTTGAAAGAAACTTTTTAGGCATGGTTGCCCCTCAGATAGAGAAAAACCATGGAGATCTCTATGAGAAAAACTGATATACAGGGGGCCATGCATCTAAATACCATGACACAAAATAGCAAATATATTACGGCTTCAGAGCAGTGACATACTCCGACAGGACATGAATGGGGAATTAAAGCGTCCCTTCCCTCCACTGGCTTACAGGTCCAGCCTGACCCGAATGGTACTACCTGGCAGGGTTCCCTAGCTCAGGGCTACGAGCGTTGGCCAACGGTTAACTCGGCAGGAGACCGGCAAGAAGGGCGGATGAGCTACGACTCCAGGGGTCAACGGCTTCGGGCGGAAGAACTCCTGGAAAGAGGGACGTGTCCCTTTAAAAACACTGTAAAGGTGGTTCTGGGGGCCTATCTCTACTATTAGCCTCTTACTTTATCTATGACCATGACAACAAACCAAAACTCAGATTTTGGGATAGTTGGAGGGTCATGGTAGCCAACCTTCTGATGGTACCTGATGATGATGATTACAGCTTACGATACTCTAGTGTTTTTATGTTCATATAAATTTTGCCAAGGCAAAAATTGAATAAATAGCATTTTGCAACCTTTAACTATTCTCAACATCTTAACTGTTTCTGTAATCCTTATAATATATTAAAAGTCTTTTGTGCAGAGGAAAACACTGAATGCAGATATGTCCCCTATAAAAATGTTTTTTTAAATAGAAATAACAAATCTTGTTTTTAGCGATTCATCAAGTTCCAAGGAGAACAAAACTATTTAGGCTAAAGATTAAGACAACATTAGATTTATCTTAGTTAAATAATCTTATGCCCCTTAATTGGTCGGAAAACCAAGTTTATTTTGATTTGTGGCAAACGAATTAGTTTAGGCTTTAAGATAAACCAGTTTTAAGGATGGTTTACTGAAAGGGCATTGTAAATTTAGAAACCCATTAGATTCAAAAAGTTAATGAAGATTATGTTCTCGTATGCATCACCGTCATTTATGTATTGTTCATAAGGAAGATTCAGAGATTTTATGCCGGTGAAATATGCGTTTTGGTACCCTATGCAAAAGTGCAACATTGTGAATCGCAATGTGTTTCAGATCGCGTGATTTCATCCATGTGCCATGTTTTGACACGTTTTTAGAGTTTAAATTTTACACTAGTCAACCACGCAAAGTTTGGAGTCACCATTAATGTTGTACTTTTTTTGCATAAACTTAACAACGGAAATTACAGCACCGCTTTATACTAGCACCCTCTTTTTAATAGTTCGATTGATCTTCACGTTCTGAACAATGTGAACCAGAACATTTGTGTACCCGGACCGGTTTGCATGCTAAATTCCACCATTCGTTTTGGTACCCTATTGTTTAAGTGCATGGGTACGTTTTTGCATAAACAAAATTGTCATACTTTTGTGTACCCAGACCGTTTTGCATGCTAAATTCCACCATTCGTTTTGGTACCCTATTGTTTAAGTGCTCGGGTACGTTTTTGCATAGCCAAAATTGTCATGCGTTTGTGTACCCGGACCGGAATGCATAAAGTTACCGAAATGCATATGACACCGGCAAAGTTAGCTGCTGGAGTGTGCAATAGTTCGTCATTGTGTTACGTCATAATAGTATATGTTTGAATAATTTCTGAATTTTGACAAAATAACCGAAAAGAACATCATGAAATACTTCTGAATATGCAAATTCAGCTCAATATGTCTAAAGGATGGCTTTATTAAAAGAGTTGTGAAGAGAGACTAAAATACTGTGGTTTGAGGAGGAAAGACCTGTGCACATGTGGCCAGATCTCGGTCATTTCATGACGCTCCTTCAGGTTTCATGTCATAATAGATGATTCAATCACGATGATTGATGACCATTGATAATGATTGGTTATGATTATGATTATCATCGTTATGGTGGTAAAGATAACAATTGCTATTGCGATTGATAATGATTGGTAATGATTACGATGATTATCGTTATGATGATTTAGAGGGTCATTTCTATTGCGATTCATGATGATGATGACTGAACACGATTGATGATCATTTATAATGACCGATAATGATTGGTAATGATTACGTTGATTATCGCTATGATGATTACGATAAAAACGGCTATTGTAATCATAATACGAAAAGCTTACACTTCCTGCTGTATCTTTGAGCTCGTATGATATGAAGTCATCTTCGAACTTGATATCCCGTTTGTAAACAAATTCTACGGAGAAAAAAAATTCTTCAAGAAGAGCATGCAACTTTGACAATATATGGTTAGACAAAATAGTGGACCGCAAGAGTCTATAGCTGCCGGGTTCTGAACTGTGGTTTGCGCAAATTTTTTGACCACATCCTTTATCAGTGAGACACGCCCTTTTAAGTCGGCAAAAATCACCTCTTTACCCTTCCAAAAAATGGTTTTGGCTTTCCCCACACACTGGGCCCAAAACACGGGGCCCAGAACACAGGGCCCTAGTTCGTTGTGTGTTTAAAGCCTAACTTCTAATCGACAATGTTTCCTTCAAATTAGCTACCGTACTTTAACAATATATGTTTGTGTTTAAAGTACATTCAATCCACTTTTCTAGTATGCTGATTTGCCTAAGCAGAACACTCTAGAATAAAAAAATGGTCTGTTTTTTCATAAACAACCTCCAAGATTTTTCCGTGTGAATAACATTCTTTTAAAAAAACAGCATTTATCCTTCCTTTTTTCGGCAGAAAACCGCCATTATTATTGGCACAAACGAAATGTCAAGTTTAGATTAACTTTCAAAGTAATTCTTTTTAATAAACTTCTGAGCATAAGTTTTTTATAAGCAAAAAAACCTCAATTTTCGTAAATAGATTTGTGTTACATAATCAACAAAAGTGGATGTTTTTATCATTCACGTGCCAAACGGTATAGAGTAAATACAATATTGAAGATAAAGAATAAAAGTTAATTGAAAAACGTTTATCGCAGTGAATGCAAACGAAGAGAGTTAAAAATGTTTTAACAACGAAAGACCAGTTACACTATGATTAAATTTTTCTATCTTATCTAAGATTTTTTCGAATGAGTGCCTTGATATGCAAAAGGATCCAAGAGGCCAGAGAAATATCATTCTAAAACGCTAGGAGGTACGTGTTTTCAGTGTGCTCTTACTAGCCTCAGAATTCTTCGCCGTTGCCAGTGGCTTGACCTTCCAGACTGTAGGGGGATGGGGTAGGGGGAGGGGAAGGGGAGAGGGAGGGGCGAGAGCAGCCTGGTCAAGAGTTCTGTTTACAGACGAAGAGCTTTAGATGAATGAAAAAACATTTAGGCGCTATTTTGTGAAAAAAAACTTAAAATTACCGACCCACTCGTGAGAATTGGATGGGTATCACCCTACACCCCTTTGCTACCCCATCCTCGAGACCACAGCCTACCTTATTTCATTCTCTTTTGTCGAATGCTACTTTATGGCTCCCTTTTGGCATTTTTAAATTGGAATCATAATAATTTACCGATGCTCTCAGTCCCACGCTTGGAACGGCCCGAAAAAGGCAAAATTCAGTTTTTAATAATACCAACAACGCCCGAAATCACAGCTTTAATGACGTCATCACGGATCTTTTTTAATGCCCCAGTCCCAGCAAAGCTATCAGTGGGTCTGGTCACCAAGATAGAAATTTCTACCAACTTTTAGAAAGTTTTATCTTAAGTTCCGAAGTTTGAGACTTTTTATCGAAAGTCTGAGATTTTATTTTCCTACACAGTTTATATCCAGTGTTTAAGGACTGCTTCTATCCCACGTAGACATCTAAGAAAGGTCCTAGGAATTAACTGGCAAAGGAATATTACCAACAAGACGCTCTATGCCAGAACGAAATGTGAACCGTGGAGTGAAATAATAAGGGAAATGAGACTAACATGGCTAGGACATCTCATGCGCTTGCATCCGGAAACACCAGCAAGGAAAACTCTTAAAGAATATTTCAGGAAAGTAAAACGGCCACAAGGATGACCAAAGACGACCTGGATGCAGACAGTAAGGCAAGATTTGGCCAGAATCAGAATTAAGCTGGATCTCTCAAAAAAAACACAAACGTTTAATAGATTATCTGAACTGACACAGGACAGAAAGAACTGGCGTGGCATTGTGAGATGCGTCGTGCAGTGTTACCTGCGTGTGACGTCTTAGTAGTAGCAGTTGTGTTCACCTGTTTTTCTTTCTTTTGTAGAAAATAGAATTCATTTTTAGAATATTGAAAACAGATGATGTTAAAAATTCAGAAACTTTTTCAATGTAACGACGTCTTTTTCTGTCTTTTTCTGTTTTTCTGAGTGTCAAACCTAATGCAAGCGTCATATGCACCTAAGTTGAAATGTTCCACTTGATATTGCAATTAGGATTTTGATGGCGTTTAAGTTAGTTTGTGACAATAAAAGAAAAATTAAATATGACTGTTTTGGCAAACAACTAGAGAAAGGTCGGCGTCCTACGTAACGCCATTATTATGCTCCCTCGCATCCAATCTGTTTAGTGACAATGTGTTAGACTATATGGTTCAACTAACACATTAAAGAAAAAAGAACTCGAAATCTTTCAAAGCTAGACACTATTGTGAATGTTGCCAGTTAAAAAAGTATCTATCATACAGCTGGGGTGGAAACTGCTTCTGGTGTCAATTAATTGCGCAGGTGGTTCAGCTTTAAATTGAGTTGGCATCAACGTTGTTTTCTGTCTTATTCGTTATCAATTGTTACGTATTTCAAATGTAAAATAAGGTTTATTGCGTAAGTAGTTGTGTAATGTATTCATCAAAGATTAATTGATGGATCAATTAAACATTATAAGGACTATCAGGCAAATCTCTGTCTCTCCTCATATAAGAACCTGCTTACATTAAAGCACCTTCCTCCGCCAAAAAACTTACTGTAAAACCTTCCTCATTTTAAATGGATTTAAAATGGGCGTGGTCAGGTAACTAGGGGTAATCAACTAGTCTTGATCCAGTTTCCTGGCAACAATTTTTGCAAAGTTTCCTAGAAATTTGTAGCTTGTTTTCAATTATATAAATTTTTAGATAGAAACAGTAAAGTAAAATGCTTATGTTGATTGAAAACAAAAGCTTGTTATTATTCAAACATAAAAGTTATAAAAAGTTAATGCCTAAGTTTTACGGTGCAAAGCAGCTTTGCAAACATATCTTTTTTAAAAAACAGTAGGTTTGAATTTTATTTTGTTTTTCTTTTAATTTTTGTATGGTTGTAATTTGAAAATGAAAGGCTATATTAATTGTTCAACTTCCACAAGTTTCCAAATTTCTGGGCACCTTCCTCAATTTCTCTTTGTCTCTACAACCTTCATCCGGCCAGTGGCCGTGGGGCCGTGATGTTTTCCTGACTCTATCTGTTGGTTACTAAAAGTAATCGACGGAAGGCTTAGGCCATCTGTCAGTCAATAGTTGCTTTGCAGACGATTGTAGTATCCGTCGATTGCCTTGAAATATGCAAAAGTAGAGTCGTGTGTATCCGTTGATGTATATCCGCAGATTCGGTTATTATAGGAACGCTCAATAGTCAATAAAAGTCTTGTTTAGACATAAATAATGCACCGGATTTCACTTAATCTATAGCCCTAAATCAACAGATAATTCACTTATCACTTTCTTTTTTCTTTTTTCTAGCGGCATAAAGTGAATCACGACACGAGTTTTGAAGGCACAGAATAAACGAGTTTTAAAATCCTGCCCAGCCTCAGATGGAAAAATTGAAGAAAAAATCAACGTGTTCTTAAAATTTATTTTCCAAATAACAAAACAGAGCATATTTTGTCATCTAATCAACTGTACTCCCAAAGATGTCATGAAAAACTTCTATTTCGTGATCTTAGAAACGTTTGTGAAACTTTGAAATTTATAATTTTTCTAGATGTGGTTCTAGAAAAACAAAATTTTGAAATTAAAACAACATTAAGAACAGACAAGCTTTAGAGTATTTAAAAAAAGAACACTGAGCCTCGGCAGAAATGATCTGGTTTGTATAAAAAAGATAGAATTTTGTCTTGAAATCTGAGAAATCTTGGAACTAGTCAGCTGCCAAAACAAATATTGTTCTGTATCACTACTGAGAGGAAACCGTTCACTGCAAGTGAGTTGTTGCTAAGTCTAGGCCGGTACACACAGAAAATCCAACTTGTGAGACTTTTAGGTTTTGATTCATATTCGTATTTGTGCGTATCCTACTCCACAACGAAGCAGCTCCTTTAGGAAATTCCTTTAAGCAACTAATACCCCCAATTTATCAAAAGGCCTTTTAACGCAGTGGTTAACGGTAGAAAGGACTGGGCATCCCCCTATCCCCAGGACTCTCAACATAAGGAGCGTCGCTAGCTGTCTTTAATTTTAATATACACAAAACACTAAATTGTTGAAGTCATCACTTACCAACATCTCCTTCATATTCACCAATGAACCTTCTAGTGAGAAATCTTACGCCAATGGCTGAGAAAGAAAATCGGTATTAATTAAATTGGAGATACATTCTGGATGGGGTATTAGGTAATTCAGAGCTGTTAAACAATAGGAAAGTGGATGCAATCGACTCTTAGTAAAGCATCTTATTTGTTTTCAGTGCAAGGGCGTGCCTCCTTTGTTTGCCTCCGGGCTGAAGGACATTTTTGCTAGCAAAACTGGGTATCAATACGAAATTTCAATGATCATAAATTTAAGTGAATAATTATACTAAATAAATAAAACGAATTATACTAAACTAATAATTATACCAGGAACACACATTATCTCTCACTATAGGGCCTTAGCATTAGCTGGGAATTATTGAGGGAGAACATAAATTGGGTCAAGTCTTACATAAAAATAACTTGCAGATTATGCTCTTCCAATGCTTAACTTTACATTGGTAACACAACATTATCCAATATCATTTCACAAAATGCCTTGGATAATTTGAAACTATACTATACTATACACTATACCTTATATATTATTTAGGGACACGGCCCCCAATCAATAAAAGCCGCTACCCTGCACGGAGCAGTAGTGAGCAAGAGTGTAGTCCTTGCTTGCATAGTTTCTTACATAAATTGCAACACGTGGAAGAAAAATAGATAAACCAACTATTCAAAAGAGGCAGATTAAGTAAGGACACAGAAACTGATTCATAGCCAAAATGAAACCTTCCTGATGAAGATCGAAAGCTGAGCTTTGTTAGGCCCAACTTGATATTGTCATTTAAAGATGGGTCAAAATCAGACAATGCGAGCAATAATGCAACCAAATTTCCCAAATAAATAAATAACTCAAAAGAGAATGCTTATTTCTCAAACTGAACGAATTTCCCTTCTGCCGCAAGTAAACCTGTTTTTTTAGATGGCTGTTGCAATAATCACGCGCCAATGATGCCGAAACTCATTTTCGTGCCCTTGCAAGTTATCAATCAATTCGTCAATTCCCTGATTTTCAGAATAATTATAGAACGATAGTTCCATGGCTTGTCTTGAAACATGCACCAAATTGAGTTAGATTGTCTCTAAAGAAGTGAACTCAGAGACAAGGACGCCGGAAGGACAAAGGAGCAAGGGGGTAGGCTTGAGTAGAAGGACATTTCAAAAATAATTTTCATCTACTGACAATTATTTTGTAACTGTTACTTGAAATCGGCTTACTTTTGGCATAAGATATTACTTTACAATTTATGAGAAATGTCGTCATGAATAAGGCACTACAGTCAGTATTTCATACGAAACTTTTGATAATAACAAACGGCCGATAAAAAGGGTACTTCTATGAAAAGGGCACTTTTGCCCCCCCCCCTCACCCCTCCTACCAAAAGGTAACAGGGGCTGTTGACCCCCACGCCCCCTCTCCTTCGTCCTTGCTTAGAGAGGCATGAAGAGCTGTAGGTCAAGAGGGGGGTCAAAGAGCCAAGAAAGAGGTAAAAAACAAAAGCAAAAATAAAAATAACTGCTTAATTTTTTGGCAACCGCACCGCACCAGTGCGCCCCCGTAATCAAGAGTCCCTGAGTGAACTTACTATGAACAAATATCTTAAGAAGTTGTGGTCCTCTTCGTTTCGATAGAAATAGTTGCCGTTGGGTCTTGATTCCTTGAAATATACGCAAATCAATTCTCCATTGTTGAATGCTAACTACTGGAGGCCGCAAAACAGGTGAAAATTATCGTTTCTAAAAGTGACGAAGAGAGGGTAAGGGGTCAGGAAAGTAACAGGCAGGATCTATATCAAATATCGATAGCAGAATCAATCCACTTCGATTCAAAGGCCTATAAACTTGATCACTGATGTGAAATTTGTTTATCTTTCCTTACCTGATTTCCCAACGCTTGGAGCGCCAACAATGGCTAGTTTAACGTCAGTATCTCCTCGTTCTTTCATCGGGCCACTTTTATCTCGTACCTTCCTCTCGTTGTCATCAAAACGTTAATGCTTAACCATCAAAATTCTGCGCTGCCTGTTTACCTCCAGAGACAGAATCAAATCTTATCTACTAATGGCATTTCGTGCTTCGTTTGTTATCCTTTGCTAACGTATTTTAGCTTGATCATAATCCTATAAGCTCAAGCTATCATCGATTCGACTTCGATTCCCTTGTTTCCATTGCCTGTCAAAATGTCAATACAGATCTCTCCAGGCACAGCTAGAATCGGAACCATCTAACGTTTTCTTGGGGGGAGCCAGGAGAGCAAAAAAAGAAATTTTTTACTCCAAATACTATCTCGATCATTAGAAGCCATCGCTTTGAGATCGTGCTCTCTAATTGTTTTGGTTTAAACAACAGTTCTATTTCCAACATTCGATTAGTGATTATTTCAAAAAGAGTGGGACTAAGCTCTATTCTTGCGGAACACCAGCTTCCTGTAGCAACAACCGCAAGTCTGGGGTTGCTGTAACTAGCCCTCCCATATGGAGTCACATTCAGCCAGTGAATACAAAAAGTGTTGGCAATCGGCAACCTTCTTAAAAACAAAAGAGGACACAATACAATGTTATAATAGCCCGGACTGTACATCGGCACGTCCCAGTAAGCGAAACACATTGATTGCTCACTGGTGTAAGAACACGGGGCTCTCATTTTCACAATATTACGATGGTTTGTGAATAAGCTTTCGCATTACACAGCTGTTATTTTTAGGCATAGGTTTGTGTAAACAGAGACATTGAGACTGGGAAGGGCTGCCCCCCCCCTAATCAGTAATATTCAGGCAAGATCCATAGTAATCCCCCCAAAACTTCCTGCATTTGCCACGTCCAGATTTTCCTGACATCATCTGGTCCGAAACCATAAAAAAGTGTACACTACCTTGTGATCTATCACATTTGCGCCTTCAAAAATTGGAATGTAAATCAAGAAGTGTGTGATCACAATGATTGTCTAGCTTTGATCGATCGTCAAGTGTTAGCGTGAAGTGGAATAAACTGGGAAGTTATTGGGAGTGAAAGCCAGACGACTTGACTCAAAATTCTGATACTGATAGTGAATATACCATGGTCTTGCATTGAACAAATTCTGTTTGCCTGTTCTTGAAAGCCCGAATTGAATCAGGCATTTTCGTCCAATATTCCATTTTGGTGTTTGAATGTTTACATAGTACCGAGAACTGGAATGCCCTTTCACTGTCAGATTGGAAACATTACTTTCTGTGATACTTTTATTCAATTTTTAACTCACCCACGCACTTTTCAAACGTTCCGATCTGGCCTTACTGTACTTTGTTGAGCATAAAGTTTTTGAAAGAAGCCAGTTAGGCTACTACTAGCTCTTACAAATTCAAAGGAACATAATCTACAACAAAAAATCGAAGATTCGCTTTAAAACTCTCACCTTCAGTCGTGTTTTCCTTTCAGTCATGACAGAATGCTTTTTCGATTCGATTACGGGCCTAAATATTTGCAAAAAGTTTCTCGCATTGCCACAACCTCAAAGGTGTTAAGGTTTGATTCAGAGAACAGCAAGAAAGAATCTAAAACTTCAAAAGATTATCTCCCATAAGGCCGAATACCATTACTCTTCGATATCTGTGGCTTTCCTATTCCAACCGGAATTCGTGAGACAAGAAAAGAAAAGGACTGTTTTCAAGAAACAAAGAAAAAATATAGAAAATGAACAAGATTACTGATACCTAATATCTCCGCGAAAAACTGGTGGGAGGAGGGAGGGGGGGGGGGGTTAGTTTGATGTCTCATTTTTGGCTCTTTCCCATTCAGTACTCTGTTTGTCAGTTATTCAATTGAAATAGAAAAGGGTTGAAGACAGCAAATGCTTAAGAAAACGCAAGTGTCAACTATATTTTATAAATACTTGTAAGCATATATAATGTTGATAAACCATTACCCATTTACAATCCCATACAATCAATTTAAAATATTTACATCTACTTTACATTTCGTCACAAATGCTTACTCAGGTACGCGCTTCTAAGTTCATAACATTCATAGACGACGCCTTAAACTCTGAATAAAAGAACCGAGCAATTAATCTCATTGAAAGCAAGAGGAACATTGCCAACTGCCTTTCTTTGAGAGACCTCCAGGTAGTTCTATTGGTATCAGGAAACGCCCCAAGACCAGACTTTCCAAGATTTCTATGGCATGACATTGTCATAACAATGAATTAATTTGTTTAAATTTTTCATTTAAAGAAGTAGAATCCACTTAATGAAAACAAAGTTTCATTTTTCATCTTTGTTTTAAGTGATTATTCCTCATGGATATTTATTTAGCAAACTATTTCAATCATAAATGATGGGCGAGGCTCCATCAATATTAGCGGTAAAAACCGAGTCCGGATAAGTTAAGTAACGGATGGTTGGACTAAGAAAAATTAATAGTAAGCATTTATCTTCCTTAGTTTGTAGGCCTTTCTCTTAATTCCGTTGGTTCGAATGTTTTTGGTCTTTAACCCAAACGGAAAAGTTAAAAGACTTATGTGAATAAGATGATGGGTTTCAGAATTAATTTGAATATTGCAAAGGAAATATGTCGAGATACATTTGTTTGATACTATAATTAAAACAATATTTTATGAGTTAGGTGAGAAAGCAGAAGCAGAATGCAAATAGCGTCTTATTTGATCTGGTTCCTACTTCATCTTGTAAATTTCCTGTTCTAAGACAAAGTAGTCGATGCTCAATCTTGCTATCTACGGAACTTGGTCGAAAATGTGTCCCAGATTTGAAACCGGCATGTTGAAATTAGTCGATACCGAAATATCATGTCGTTTGAATTGTTCGATTGCGTGTAACTGCGTTTTAAATATTCAGATATTTTGAAAGTATTACCCGCAAGAAATGTTTTCACTGCAGCAGCGAAATTCCGGTGAAATTTACAGGAAAACCAAAATTTTGAAAACTGCGTCATTTGCAGCCTGACTATCTAAGCAACATGAAATTTCGTTACAGACTAACTTCAACGTGAGGATCGTAATTTTTATGATCTATTTTGGCAAATACGAAGATGAAAAATTAACCTCGCTAACTCGGCACAGAAAATTAGGTTTTTCCAGCTTCTGTCCAGATGTTGGCTTGCTTCTTCACAAGAGCAGCCCACGCTAAAGTAACCAAAACAACATCGGACGGGGGTTACCTCTTTAATAGCAAGTTCAAGCGGGACAAGGCAGACCACAGTTGAGCGGCAGCTTTGAGCGTCTCCTTCGTTGCGGTTTTTGAAAGATTTAACCAGGGAGATTCATATTTTTACAGCTGTCAACTTTTCAACTACAATTACAGTTTAAGCAAAGAATTCTATGTACATATAAGATCAGCTAACTAGTGCAATATAATGTTCTTGCATGATCGCAAATAGCATTTTTCAACGTTTCCAGAGTTTTTCAAGGGTGTTGTCACAAGCAAGGCCTCAGTTTTGTGACAGACAATCTGTGTGGCTTTAAACAGAGCCAGACTGCAAAGTTTGGATATGCGCATGTAATTTCTTCCTCAAATCCCCTCCGCGCATTTTTGCAGTTTTAGATTATTCCACGCAGTTGCAGCACGGGCTTCAGTGTGAACCCGGCGCACAGCCTCAACACGAGGCATAAAAATGCAATTAAAAAAATTCCCGCAGCTCTTTACCTGCTATTTTGCGAGAATATTTGTTCCCGCGCAAGTGTAAGCGGCAGAAAAAATTCTACGGGCACAAAAAATACTTTGCGCTCTTGAAACAAAGTTGATATTTACTGACTCTGTGCCCAGTTAAGGCAAGACGGACACCCAATTAAGAGGCCTAGCTCTCGAGCAGAGACGTTCACTGCATATTTCTGTTCATATCTGCATCCCAGGTTCTACGCTCCCTTCTGTGATATCAGTATCTTGAGTGTCAGCTCGTTCTCTCGGTTTATGGCAGGGAGATGAAAAGTCTATTGAATCTACTGATTCCTGCGAAGAGAAAATATTCATGTGGTACTTTCCTTCACATATGTTGACTATCTGTTCTGCGGGTTGAAGCTCAACCTCCTGATGCTCTTTCCAAAAAAGAAGCCTGCGAAGGAGCATTTTGTTCACCTTTTTGTGATTTCCCTTCTGATGTATGGCTTCCGTTGTTGGGTCGATAGCACTTTCTTGGTTAGGTGTATAAGAGTCGCTTTCTTCAGAATTCGTACGTAAAATGCCCAAAAGTCTTGGTGATGGAGAACCAGGCTTGTAGTTATCTGTAGGGCTGATTGTGAAAGCTGATCCAGTGGTATCTTTCTGTAAAGTTGCTTCTGCTTTGACATTTGCAGATAGGATTTTTTCAGGCTGATATGTTGGGCTGGAATTTTGCCCCTTTTTTCCCTTCTCCATCTCCTCTTCCTCGTTTTCTTCAAGCACGGGATTCACTCTCCCTAATCCAGGGGCTGCAGATCTTATTCGGTGGCAATTTTGTTCATGTCGATCCATCGATGCATCATTTGTTATTTCGACCTCCACAGTGGTTGAATCATGTTTGTCTTGCAAAGAATTAAAGGTACTTTCTTCAAAGATCCCCGACTCGCATGCCAAAGATGATGAATTTTTTCTTTTTTTGGCTGGTCCTTGACAGAGGGCACTCTTCCCTGTCAACGGACTTGTTGGCGTTGTTACTCGATCTCTGTTTTGGCATGGTGTACCACTGCTACGAGTTTCGGTGGCAGAATTGATGTTGGCATTAGCTCTGTCATTCTTCTTCAGTGACAAGCGAAAGGTTTTTGCCACAGCAGCCCTTAAATCCCGTTGAAACAAAATGTAGATGATCGGATCGGTAAGCAGTGCAGTAGCATGTAAGAAATCAGAACTCGGCAAGGGTCCCTTATTGATATATCCTATGACACTTGGGACAATTTCGAATAGGACAAATGTCAAAAGTATCATGGAGGTGACACGGATGAACTGGCTGTTTTCAACTCGTCTTCGACTGCCATTTGGGCGCCCTCTCGCAAGTCTATGCAAAATCGATGCATACGTTATGAAGAAGAATACAACAAAGAGCCCAGCGAAAGCCATGAATAGCTCTCTCGTGAACACGATTTTGAAGTACTTTATGTCCAAGATTGAAAATACGACTGACGATGTCAGAAATATTATCCACAGAACAACCAATACTTTTTTCGTTCTGCTTTTTTCCATCAATATCATGTGTTTCAAAGGAAAATTGCATGCCACAAATCGATCAAACAAGATTGAAAACATTGCTATATACCATATAATTCTAACATTAATGAGGCATATCATCAGAATTCCAAATGCATGCAAAGCAGCTGCATTCTGGCTGATCAAAAGAACTGTATCTCGAAGTAGCCATAGTACTGCACCAGTTATTTCAGTCAGACTTAAATTCACCAACAAGATACCCTGGGTCTTCATTCGTCCACCACGTTTACAGAACAGTCTTATTCCATACGTATTCAGCACTATGGAGCAGCCTAACAGACATGCTGCCACAATGTAATAGTTCTTGAAATCCATTTCGTCAGTTCTACAAAACAAGAAGCTGAAGAATATCAGGTAACACAAAATCGGCAATTTATAGCCAAGAGCTAAAAGTTGAACAAACAAATTAACTATTTATAAGCAACAGATTGTTACAATGCAATTTACTTAGATTCTCACAAACTCCCACGATTCTATCTTCTTGACATACTATGTTAATTCCTTGTGTGGGATAAGGCAGCTTTCATATCAAACAATCAATTATTTGCCTAATACTTCATGATTCATTTGCTGTCAAGGACTTTTTTGCAATGACTGCTATGCGTGGAGCTGAATCAAGGGTGCAGTGTCGTGAAATCAAGAAAGGGGGCCTTCGCCTAAAATTTCTTAAAGGCAGTATGTCCCCCATTGTTTTCAAAATCTCTTCATGCATCGTTGGTTTAATACATAAATAACAAATCAGAGTAAAGTACCACAATAGCGTACTTTTTCGAGCGAGTTGCTGTGAATTTTGTTTTGGTGTTAAAAGTTTAAGTCAGTTTCGATGATATAAAGATTTTTTGTCGTGTTCGCCCGCAATAACTAATCTCGGATATTTAAAAGGCAGAGGAAGACCCGGTCCATCCCATTGTTTTATTAGATTCTTAAAATTTTTCAAATTTTCAGCGGATTTCAGATCGTTGGGTAGGCCATTCCAACTCTGCATAAAAGGTGGGTTCAACTGTTTTACTGTTTTGAATATTTCAATGCACAGAATTCTTTAACGAGCAACAAGCATCGTGCATTTTTCTGACTTCACAAGCAGATCGTTATACGAACTTGTTTGATTATTATAGAGAAATTTTAGGGCACGTTCTTGTATCTGTTCAATTTTCTGTGATGATTTAGAAGATGAAAAATACCAGGCCAAGGGACAATAACTGAAATTGGAATATACAAAGCTCTGAACAAGAATCTTTTTTTCGTGGAATTCAATAAACGCCTTTAATCTTTTAAAAACATTTAATTGTGTTGCAGCTTTTTTGCAAAGATTCGAAATATGTGAGTCAAAATCAAGTTTGTAATCCAACGTTACTCCTAAAAGCTCCACTGTCTCCTCAGAATTAATTTTTTTACCATTAATGATCATTTGTTCTCCACTAGTATTTGTCTTGTTTTTCCTAAGAATTATAGCATGAAATTTTTCAGGGTTTGCAATCATTTTATTTTGTTTTAACCATGATAAGGCAATTCCCGTTTCTTTTTGCAAAGTATTTAAAAGATCGCGCAGGTTTTTAGAAAAATAAGCAAGTGTATTGTCGTCTGCATAATTATAGAGCGTTGCTTGTATTATGAATAGAAATAAGTCATTTGTGTAAAAATTGAACAGGACTGGTCCTAGCATAGAGCCCTGGGGTACAACAGACATAACCTCTTGAAAATCGGTGTATGAATTATTTATCCGAATTCACTGTTTTCGTCTTTTGAGATAGGAGCAAATTAGAACTAGAGCATCTCCATTAGATCCATACGCATGTAGTTTGGCGATGAGCAAATCACGTGGGATGCAATCGAAAGCTTTCGAAAGATCCATTGAGACTGCACCAACGAGATAGTCATTGTCAAGGCTAGTCTTCCAGTCTTCTATTAAGCGTATCAAAACATGTTGGGTTGCAAACTATAATGAGTTTGAATCTGAATTTGAGTTTGAATTTCTGTCTAACTATTATCAATATTGAATGATTAAATGAATCTACTACGACCACAGAAAAATGCCATAATGTAAGCATTTGGAATTTGATGAAAGAAAGAAAACACGAAGATCAAAATAAAGATAAGAGGAAAGGAGGCCTAAGGAAAGCAAATATGGACGAAGGCAAATTCTGAAATTCTAAGCACAGATATTCCTCAGTATGTGTCAAGGAGAACACATGTTTTAAAGATATGCATTGAAAGCATCAAAGCCATGTGCAACTTTATTAGTTTTGGTGCCAAAAACGGGAAAACAAAACAATTACAAAGCATTTCATAGAATTCCTTTTTGACAGAAAGCTAGCCCACAAAAGCAGCGAACCACTTAAGGATAGTTTTGATGTCAACACAGAATTCAAGATCATTGAATAATTCATGAAGCTCTCGTCAGCATATAATTTTTTGTGCAGAGCAAACTGATAAGAATGCGTTTCCCATCTTTATATCTACTATTTCATAAGTGCCTTATGTAGCCAGAACCGTGGGAAATATTGTTCACACGCAGTATTCTCGCCTTACCCGCCTCTTCGATCCTAATCATTGGGATGAATATGTCTCACTCTGAACAGAAAGTGTTCCTGCACAACAACTGCATAGATGATTCTCTACATAACCGTCGCTACTTTAACTTTAGCAGTATTTTTACTTGTTAGTGGAAAATCTACTCCTCTCTCCTAAAAGAGAGAACACATGTCGTCCTAAAAGAGAGGTTTCTCCTAAAAAGAAAGGTAGATGTATCCGATGATTTTATCAAAAATTTGAGTAATGAAAATGTCATCATACTAAAGTGGATTCTTGAAAATGAATTTCATAGCGATTGTCAGAGAGAATCGTTGAAAAGTGTGACTAAAAAAAATTTCGCTTAGTCCTATACACAAAACAACTGTAGAAAACTTAAAGGAGACAATATATAGAACAAGAAACTTTTGAACACTTTTGAACAAGAAAATAACACTCTTGACAAAAAATGCCAAGATCGCAAGAAGAAAACGTTTTTGGTCCCTGCTATAGAAAATTTTCAAACGAAAAGTAAACAAGGTCTGGTTTGATTGAAAACTCTACAGTTTGATGGCTCAAATACTACACTAGAATGATACTGTTTTCCAATTAAAACTACCTATAGTCTTACAGACTGAGATCACATGGATAAAAAGTACTTACAATATGAAACTATTGACATATTCTTTATAAATTTCAGCTAAACTGATCTTCAGCTTGACGAGTTGATATACCGCACATGAAAAAGTATCCACCAGCGTTAACTGCTATTGCAATCTGGTTTTCTTATAACAAGAGGTGACCATTAGCACAACAATGCAAAGTAAACATCTTTTCGCACGTGATCAAAACAAACGCCTTGATTGCTATCTTTAACACGATGTTGACGCTATCTGATTTTAATTATCAAGTAAAGTTTCTTCGGGATAAAATGACTCGCCATAGGTTGTCATATGACGTATTCAGATACGCGCTAGCAGTTGCTGTCTGAACGCATTTAGGCCAACAAACTCAAGCTGGTGATGTCATAACCTTAATTTCGATGTTCCAATGACGACAAGGAGGAGTTTTTGTTATTGACAGGCTTGTAAAGGTAGCTTAAAATTTCAGCTGGATCATCTTTTGATTAGCGTATTTCTTCCGGTGATCAATGTTGTTCGTACTGTGCACGCTCGTTAGTCCGGACGCAGCGGATTCGATTTTCCTCGTCTCCGGTCGGATATGCCAAATGTGAGAAAGTGGAATATAGCAGATATTAACCTCAATGAATCAAAAAAAAGAAAGCATGAAAATTAGAATAAATTATAGATCGATTGAATGGAAGTAAATATATTCAATTTATCACAGTGGTCATTTCATTTCATTTCCTTTTGATCAGTTTGTCAGGTGGCGTAGGAAAAAAATTGCACGAATCAATGTAAAAAAATTGTGAATAATCGATAATATGTTCGGATAACAAAAAAATTCCTTGGTCAAGTTCGGTTATTTGAAGTTAGGATAATTAGTGTTCGGACAAATAAGGTTCATATGACCAAAGTTCGGATAATCGAAGCTCGGATAACTGAACGTTCCGACAACCGCAGTTCCAATAACCGAAATTTGAATAGCTGAAGTTCAGATAACTTTAGTTCGGATAACTGAAGATCTTAAACCGAAGTTTGGATAGCAGAAGTTCGGATAACCAAAGTTCGGATTAAACTATTATTTACTTTCATATGCCAAAACAAGGCAACATCTCAAAGCCTCATTATTTGAAAACAAAAACGTTTCAAAAAGCCTTGACAAGACGTTTCTTGAGATCCTACGTTCGCGCCCAAACCACTATTAGAATCAACGGTCTGATTACGTGATAGGTTTTCAATTTCTAAAAAATATGCGAGGCTCTTAAAGTTGTGAGGAATTTTGGAGACTTGGAGAACTTCTGCTAGGAAATAACGAAATCTCTCCTTCTTCTGAAAGTTCCATTTACAGGGGCAACGTAAAGTAGAAAATTGCAAAAATAGCATATTGTCTCACCAGTTTTGTCCGGGATTGCAGCTATCCCTCATGAATAAACTCGTCAAATCTCGATATATTTTAGAAAATGCTAGTTTTTATTAAGTGTCACCTCTGAATCAGGTTTATTAGAATCAAAATCAAAATTCAGATTATACCAAAAATTGCTTCCTATGACCTTGATAATTGTTGTCTGATTTTGGTATCTTTCAGCGAGTCGTTACTCCACATGCAAACCCATCATTGGTAGATTAGTTTGGTTTCTCTCAAATCTGCATGATATATAGTCACTTAACGGGGAGGTTGTAATCTCTGGTATTTTCGAGCTTCATAGAAAACAGCTATCCTCCTGTACCTCCACGAGGTCGTGTTTAATTCCAGAACGAAAAATCTATCTGCAAATGAAATAAACACATTTACTTCGAAAGAAGCACTAACCCTACCCTGGGTGCCAGAGTATCCATAATTTAGTCTTCAAAAATGCTATCGGAGTCTAATCTTAAAGACATTTATTTGTGTGGGAATCGTGAAGGGTCCTCTGTCCTTTCCCTTCTCATACACTGCTTCCTGACCATTGCATCAGTCTATAGTACCGGGTTTGTGCTATAGAGTTTTTCTGCGAATACTCTGGCTTCATTTTCCTCTAGACTTTTAATGTTGCGATGAGATACGTTTCTGCTTTCTAAATATGCCCGTGATAATAAAAGAAATTGATAGGAAATTTCAGTTCTCAACACGAATCACTTAAATTGCCTGACTTTACTTAAAGGCATTGAGTCATGATAAATAGACTGGGTATACCCTAAGTGCCAAAATCCGCTGAGTCATGATTTCCATGACTGCGATGCACTCACCTTGAACTGGTCACATGAACTCACCTTGTACTGATTAACATAACAGTTTCCATCAATAGCAAGTTGTCAACAACGGATGCCAATATCACATGAAACAGCAGCGATCACGCCGAAACCTAATGACCCCCTAAAGATAAAGCCTATTTACCATGACTCAATGCCTTTAACACAAAACTCTTTTGGATGAATTCGGTAAAAATCTTGTCTTTTAATAATTAACTGATATCATTCTACCTACAGCTGCAGTTGTATGAAAATTCACATGGCAGAATATGTTTACATATTTACCTGATTGGAAAATAACACTGAAGGTGGAAAAGACACAATTAAGGTGGACCTGCAAAGTAAGCAAAAATTTGGTGAAATGCAACGATAGCATGAAAAAATTCATCATCAAAATTAACAGTTACGAAGCTGGAACTTCCAATTAAAGGATTTTCACCAGCGATCGAAAGATACATAAGTAGAATAAATTGCGTGAGTAATGCAGAACGATACGTTAAAGTAATTTAATAAACGCAATGTTATGTAAAGCTACACAAGAAATTGAATGTAAAAGAGCTTCTCTGTAGCGATATTGGAAATAATATAGGGGCCTCTTGCGTTGAATGTTGCAAAACAATACCAAAGAAGAAATTGGCTACAGCCTCCTGTTAACCCCTAGCTCTGCAGCCCTGGTTTCAAGGGATTTAAAAGAATAAAGGAAGCTTCTAGAAAAAATTAGAAGGCAGTTAGAGATAATTGTTGATTGAAGAAGTAGAAGTAGAACAAGTAGTTCAAAATATTAAATTTTCGGCTCTTATGCTAATAAATTGCTTTCAATTGTTTTCGGGCTTCATCTTCATGGAACAGCCTGGAAACTGAAATAAAAAAAATGTTTACTAACGCGAGAACTGTAAAAATTGGCATTGTAGGGGTTGGTTTACATCTTTGCGTTACCTGATTGGCTGATCATATATGGTGGGAAACCTGGCTAACAGCTTAACACAGTACGGCTTTGATAATGATTTTAACAATATAAAGAAGCAATTTACAACAGTTGATGTAATGATACAGTGTCAAACTCAATCACGCCAAATATGAAAGGGCCAAATATGAAACGTTTGTGTCGCAAGCCAAGCAGAATGAAAATGTATTGAACAAGCAAAAACTTTTCTCCTTTAATTGTTTCAGGAGTCGGATGCGGAGCCTTCAGCTAGACACCCTTGATCTACTACCCGCTTGGTGTTTTGATAACGTTGTTTGACAACTCAGCAATTTTCAAAATCAAGATAAGCATAAATTTGATTGAGTATATAAAAACTGATAAGCTGAAATAATGCACGTACTGTGAAAGCTGTAAAAAATTGAGCAAAATAAAATCAGCAATGAAAACTTAATCAGAATTCGAAGAACGACAAAACAAGTAGCAGGTTATGGCGAATTGAGCCATTGTCAAAAATATTGTCACGCGACCAGAGGCTGGCGGGACACCAAAGTAGATTTGCTTGCAATCTATATCTCATCAAAAACAATTCACGAGTTAAGTAATCGAGTTAGATTCGAGAAATAGACACAACGGTGTACTATGTCAACACACTGAGAACATCTTTGAAGTAGGTATGCCCCTTAATCGTGTCCCTCCCCATACCCTGTCTCCCCATCTCCACCACCCCGTCTCCACCACCCCGATCTCCCTTTTCCCATGTATGAGCATACACAATAACGCTCGTCTGCAAGGTGGGAAAAGAATAAAGATCAAAGAGGATGTAGGTGGTGGCTTGAGGTGGGTTGGTTTCATTAACACGTGTACTGTAAATAATCGTAAGATGAATGTTAGTCCTTGTTTGATCATTTAATGCTAGTTTGCTATAAAAAACATTCGCATATTTCACAGTATGATATTGTTTGTGCCCGGCGAACATTTGTGTCTCCTTTAAGTTTGAGTTTATAGCTTTTAATTAAGAAACCTAACTTAAGTAAATATACGTTTAGGGAATTTAAGTTACTTTAACATCGACTGTTCATTTATTGCACTTCCCTCGAAATGATGAAAACCTTATACCAATCTTACCAAAGCCCTCTTACATGTTAAAACAATCAACAGAGCGGAAAGGTTAACTAGAATCAAATTAATATGCAAAGAAACATCATAATACAACAATTAAATTCATATTTCAATCGTATGTGGGCTTAAATGGTCTGCTAGACCAAGGGTGAATCGTAAGTATGCGAATCAATTCTAAAGCGCATGGCTCCACTGCCACCGGGAGTCTGGACAATGCTTATACATAAAAGAGTAACTGCCAACAATCCATTTCGTACCTTCTTCTTACTATCCACCCCTTTTCTTGAATCCCTTTCACTTCAATCGTTTTCACCTTTACGCTTCTATTAACATACTCACACTATTGTATGTAACATACTCACATTATTACATCTCTCTGGAAGATACAAGACGGATATAAATATGTTTTAAGCCATGAGTCTGGGCAGGCTCAAAATAGACAACCAATGAGGGTCGATCATGATTACTTGCATGTAGCTGCTCATGTATCTTGTGTGTTGTTCGCTCGAGTCAAACAACGCAATAGCTAAAACTTCGATGAGAGATCTCTCATAGCTTCAAAAACTTAAAGTTGAAAATGGCTTTGAAAAAAGCAAATATTTGGGTGAACTAAAGTTTTTGTCTGACACTTTTCAGAGATTAAAACGTCAGAACATAGACCAACTCTACGCTAGGAAATATATGTACCCAGATATTGGCCAAGGATTGAAATGATATATTTCCTAGCGTAGAGTTTTCGGTCTATGTTCTGACGTTTTAAACTCTGAAGAGTGTCAGACGAAAAGCTTGAGTTTACTCCAATGTTTGCTTTTTTCAAAGCCATTTTCAAATTTTGTACCACCAAAAGATTGTTTAAACTTGAAGATCATATTCCCAGAAACCGCTATTTTTAAACAGCCTTGCATTAAATTCGTTGGGTTTGATTAAACCCTAACTTAATTTAATCAAATTGCAGCAATCATGTGAAAGGCAGCTCTTCCCTAAATCATCTTAAAAACACTATGTCCCGTCAGTCAACTGTTCGGAGATAAAAATAGACTCTGCAGCGCGTTTATAATCGAGAAAACAGTGTGAATTACTCTTACATTGACGATTGGATACTTAACAATAGGTCTATTGTGTAGTCCAACCAATGAGAAAATTAGATGGGCAGCGAAATTCGTCGGGACACATTGCCTTTAAAGGCTATACCCATCAAAATCGCATAATTATAGAGATTCGTCATTGACACAAGCATGTTATTTCACAAATAATACAAAAGTACAAATACCCAAAATGTCACTTATTAAATTACATGATCCATACGACAGTACTCATACTAGTGTACCAGTACTCAAGCTTAAATCTCAATACCAGTATCTTTCGATCCAATAAACTTCTTTTTGCGTTTAAAGCATATCCATTTCGCTTTGCGTAGAGACAATGTCTTCAGATATCAGCGCTTTCTTAGCAAGGAAGGCCTCTTTTTTGACTTGGTTGTCAAGATGTTTGGGCACATCAGGAATGACCCAGGCGAGAAGACCAGTAAGAAAGAACACCAGATGCTGTTTGAGAGAAATCATTGAGAATGAATGCGTAATCATGCAAATAAAGAGAGAGAAAAAAGTCAACATAGTG